CGTTGGGAGCTGGGGGGATTTGGGGTGAGGGATACGGGGGCAGGGCAGCGGGCTGGGGGGCTTTGGGGGCTGGGAAGGGAGCAGGGCGGCTCTGAAGGGTTTGGGGGGGCTGCGAGGGAGGAAGGGGCTCTGCTGGAGCTCCCGCTGGGGTCAGCGGCGTCCCGTGGAGCGCGGGACGGGGGGTACCGGGGCACAGCGCTGGCGTGGCCTTGCTGGGGGCTGCCTTTGCTGTCCTCTGCCCTTCAGGACGCTGAGAGCTCTGCTTTCTGGCTTTTTAATCTTCCCACTGGGGTGGGGGAGGAGCCGGGCGTTACAGCCAGCTGCCTCGGGCGCTTTCCCTACTGGCATCGTGGCAGAAAGCACGGCTCATCCCCCTGGGCACGTTCACAGCCCCCTCCCCTTTGGGGGGCGACCTCAGCGATGGATGGGTTTTTGTTAGGCTCTGGGATGGCTTTGTGCAAAAGGTATTGTGTAGTTCTCCATTTCATTGTGGTTTTTAGTCTATGAAGTCAAATAAAAACTTTATTGCTGTTTTTTTTTTTTTTTTTTCCCTGGTAAGTGGATGTATTCCATGCTCAAGCAATAAAGTGAGCTCTTCTAAACTGCTTTCTGCGTTGGGCAGGTAGGGAGGGCTCTCGTTTCTTTTGAGAAGCAAACACAAGCAGTAGGATTGCATCCTGCGGTGCTGGCCCTGTGTCTTCAGGCAGGCAGGGTGAGGAAGAGGAGATCAGAGCAGCAGAACTGCCTGAATTCAGCACACAGGCTGCCTCTGAAACACCCATCATCTCAAAGTGGGGTGCTGGAGCCCTGGGCTCAACCAGGCCCTGTTTAAGCACACAGAGTGCTTGCAGGAAGTGGCAGGGTGCTGTATATGTGCAAGCAACCCGCGTGTGGAAGAACTCTCAATGCCCAAACTTCTTCCTCCTTAGAATCTAACATGTTCACAGGGATACTTTCCAGTTTGTGAACAAGCTAACATCCTCAAGGCATGAAATGATGTTTTAAACACAAAATAAGTGTTTGTCTTGCTGTGAATGCTAAGCAGAATGATATCCTTCCGGTCTTTATTGCATGGTAACAAAATGAACTTAGTGTCATTCTTCCTTGTCTGTAGCTTCTCTCACCCATTTACTCTGCGGTGAGGTTTTAGTGCCTTGTTTCCACTGCTCTTTTATGAGGGGCTGGCAAACATTCACAGGGGGGAAGTGTGCTTTATTTGTCACAGAAGGCATAATGTGCAGTTGTGGGTGGGTGGTTTGTTAGGGTCTTTGTCATGCAGAGAAGTGAGAGCAGAGCAGTCTGGTGCAGTGGTTCCTGAAGGGAGGTCCTGGCATAAATTTCAGAGGGCTGAAGAAGGAAACTGCAGTGGAGGTCATTGCCTGAGCTGTGGGGAAGGGTCTGGGTAGAATGGAGAGGGAAAAAGAAATCTTGTGTGGCAGGGGTCGTTCATGGACATGCTGAGAGGTGCTGGGGTTGTGTGCAAGGGTTTGAACTGCAAGACTGGGAAATTCTTTTGTTAGCTCCAATATGGGGCTTTACTTAACCCCAGCAGACAGGAAGAGGTCTCTGCTGAATTAACACACTTAACATGCACCCATTAGCACGCCTGAGCTCACTGCTGTGTGGCAGGGCTTGTGGTGAGACACGTCTGGGGTCTTGCTGACAGCCCGAGGTAAAGAAGGGAGGCAGTAATTTTTCAAAGCTTTGTGTAGTTCTGTGTTTGTATTTCCTAGATGGGGTTTTGAGCATCTCTAATAGTTCCCCAAAGCTTAACATACCCTGGTTTTGCTGTAGGAAGTGTTTTGGTGCAGGCAGAACCCACCTAATTTCACTGTAGCATCACACAGGCAAACTCCAGCAGCAGAATGGTTTGGGCGTGGGGTTTGCATCTCTTAAATGGAAGGAGGCTCATGCCCACTGGAGGAGGCATTACAGCTGTGAGGAAGTAGCAGTTTCTCCTGTATGTTAAGACTGGTGATGAAATATTAATGCTCCCAGCTGAGTCACCGGCCAGACCGGGTTGGGTCTCTTGCTTCCTAAACTGATGGGGAGCTGTAAAACTACATGAATGACTTAGTTTGATTTCTTAACAAAATGAGGCTTGTGCAGCATTGCTGCTGCGTGTGGCTCTGTGCATTCCCAGCTTTTGGCAGAGCTTCTCATTGCCCCGTCAGGCAGGGGACAGAAATCTGAAAGTTAAATTCTGTGGGAAACACCACAGAAATTTGTGCCCTGGGAGAGGAGGGAAAAACCAGTGGGAGATAGAAGCAGGAGCTCAGCTTTTGCTGGACGGAAGAATATGTGCGTGGGGAGCTGACCTGGGGGGTGTAATTGCAAGGTGCTGGCTTCCTGAAAATTAACCTGGTGCCGTAGAGTGAAGGATTTCCAAAGGATTTCAGGCAACAATAAGGGACGAGAATAATCAGAGCTGTAAAGCTATAGCTGTGCTGTGATTTGCTTATTGACAGAATTAGCAGCTTTGAGTCTCATGTCTGCTGGGTAGTAAACTGAGGCAAAGTGGCTACGTGTGCTGGCTGGTGAGTCATTGTCTGAGCTGGGATTAAACTCGGGTGCCTCCTGGCTTTCAGGTTTCTGCTCAGAGAGCTTCGAATTTCTCAGGGAAGCTCTGTGAGTGTGAGGTCCCATCGTGGAGCTGAACCTGGGGAAGGACATTAGAGAGCTGTCCTTTGCTGAGTGAGGACCAGCAGACGTGGTGCCCAACCTCCTCCTGCCTGGAAGGCTGGAGCTGCTCCAACTTCACAGCGTTGTCAGCTGCTCAGTGTTTAGCTGGGTTGCCTTCCTTAGATCTGCCATGAAAATCCTCCATGCTTGGCCATACCCTGTTGTCCATAAGTCGGTCTTGTTTGGGTCTGGGATAAAGCTTTCTGATGGTGCAGATGCATGTGCAGACCCTTCCCCCTGTGAACAGATGGGCTGCTGATGGGCACACAAAATGACAGATGTGGTTTGAGTGTGGTTGTATTTGAAGCAGTTCATGTTTTTTCCTGCTGTAACAAAATCCTTTCTGTCCCCAGGTGATGTTGGAAACTATTATTATGGCCAGGGACACCCCATGAAGCCCCACAGGATCCGGATGACCCACAACCTGCTGCTGAACTACGGCCTTTACAGGAAGATGGAGATATATGTAAGTGTGATGAAGAGACGTGTGTATGAAAGATCTTAGTGTACTTGTCAGTTGTAATTTTGGTGCTTCAAGCTCGTAAGTTCTCTGTTGACAAGCCAAAGAGGAAAGTAAAAAGGATTAAATGGTTGTGTTGACATATTTCTGCTGCATTCTGATTTCTTGCAGTGAGATGTTCTTTGCTTCAGATAAGCTTTGGAGTCTGGAAAATTGGTTTTCTCTCTGTAGCTTAAATATTTTCTTTGCCTAGATAGGTAGTATGTTCCAGTCTGCGTAATGGCTTCTTTGCCTTTGAAAATAAGTTTCTCTGGTCTAGTGCTGCTACTTCATTTATTTATTTTATTATTTTTGCTGTTTCTGGGAGTAAATCTGAGACTGGAAATGGGATTTGGGGAGGGCAACTTTCCCAACCAAACCCTGTGTCCTTGCAGCGCCCTCACAAGGCGAACGCGGAGGAGATGACCAAGTACCACAGCGATGACTACATCAAGTTCCTGAGATCCATCCGCCCAGACAACATGTCTGAGTACAGCAAGCAGATGCAGAGATGTAAGCTGTGTGTGTGGGGCTGTGGTTCCTAAGGAACACTTAGCACAGTGTTGTGCTTCTGGGGATCCTGGGTGAGCTTTAGGAGCTCAGGATGAAAAGAGCAGGAGAAGCCCTCAGGACCTGCATTTCTCCAGACTTTGTGTTCTGTTTACCTGTTAAATCAAGGATTTGAAAATGAATCCCTCTCAAGCCAGAGTGGCACATGAGCCGAGGAGAACCATTTGACCCAATGGTCTTCTCTGATCTTGTGCTTTAGTGGAAGTTCTCCTGAATTATCTTCCTGGTTTGGAGATGGTCGAACTGCTCCTTTTATGAGCTGCACATATTTGCTGTAATTGCTTATCTTATAACTGAAGGTCTCAGGATGGGACAAGGTTGTGTGTTTTTAAATTTACTTTTTATTTTTAAAAAGAGGCTCATCAAAATCTTCAGGAACTCTGAAGGATTTTCAGAGCTACAGTGGCTTGGAAGTGGGGGAGGTTTGAGATGCATGATGGTACCTGTCTGCTTTGAGTTAGAATGTTCGTTCTTCTTTTTTGTGAGATAATGTATTCCTCTAACCTCTGCAGTCCATGAAAGTGCTGAGGATCTCTTTGCAGCTTTAATGCTGCAGAAACCTTTTTTTTTTTTGGTCTGTCTTAAACTCTGAGGTGATGTTTTGTGTCAGGTCATAAAGGCAAATAGAGGGGGAAGGCTCAAGGTTCTTTTAAACATTATTTTGATCATGTACACTGCTTTTCTTGAGAGCAGAAAAAGAGACAAAAGCCCACAGGATTCATTTATGTCAAATGTGATTTCCAAATTAAAAGAAATACGAGTCTTGAGCCTGAAGTGAGGGCACTTGAAAATCTGATATTAGCTGAAAGGGACAGATGTTTAGGCACAAGCACATAATAGGAATGAATAGTATGGTACACGAGTAATATACATTGAAAGACCTCCTACAGTAAATAATTTGACTTAATATACCGAAGTATATATTTACACAAACTGAACTGTTTACCCCTGAAGCTGATACGGCTCATGAACACCCACTCTGCTCTCTGGTAGTCAACGTTTTCTCTACTGTATTTCCACAGAACTATTTTTAACTGAAGGAGGCAAAGTATGAAAATTAATCTTAAACACACAGAGGGCAGATCTTTTATTCAGCAGGGAAAATAAGCCCCAGACTTCGTTTTCTTGCAAAGAACAAACTTCTGCCTGACTGAAAAACTGGCACGAGAGGCTCAGAGCAGAGATGAGTGGTGCAGGAGACAAGGTCAGCACTCCTGGGCACGGTGGCAGGTCTCTGTAGCCTGCTTGGTGCTTTACCTTTTCTTTTGAAGAAAGGATGGGGCTGTGATTTCCACAAAGATGCTTCTCCTTTCCTGCTGGATTCTGTGTCAGATAAAAATTCCTCACCTACCTGCTGTAAGGAGAAGGGAGCATCCGTGCCTCTCATCTTGCACCTGAGCTTTATGCCTGTAGCCAAGTGATTGACCCCAATTATTAACAATGCTCTCTAGTAGTCCTGGCTGCTTTCAGTCTCCTGGTGAGAAGAAGCTCAACTGGCTTATGTTTATGCAGCAGCTCTTCCTGTTTTTGCCAGGATAGCAGAGGGAAGCCCTCAAATACTGTCAGTGCTGCCCACAAAGTTCTGAGGGGCGGTAAAGGTAATGAACAGTTTTCTTATGTCATTTTGCTGAGTCCTGCATGAGGGCTTGGAAAGACTATTCTGTAACCTAAAGGGCAAGAAGTTTGGTTTGTTGTAATGGAAAGTGTGTAGAAATCGATGACTTCAATTCTCCTCACTTAACATGGAAATCTTCTTAGATTAATTATTCAAAGTTTGCAGTTTTCTATGCCCTGCTGAAACCATCTGGGAACAATTACTTCCTTCTGGGACTCTTGCAGAGCATTGTCCTTTTCAGAAACTTCTGTCCTACACTGAGAGTTCCATTATCCCACTCCTTGTGAAGGCTGTGTGCTGCTGAGTATCTCATGCTACAAGATCTGTGGTGTTTGTGCCTTTCTCATTAAACACGGGGGGAAAAAAAAAAACAGCTGAAAAAAACCTGGAAATGAACAGTTTCCAGATGCTGGTACAAAAATACAGATTTTGTTTTTGCTTCTAAAAGCAGATGTTGTAAAATGTAGATTTAACACAAGCCTGCTGTTAGTGTGTTTAATGGTGAGGGGTCCTGCCTCCTTCCTGCACAGCGTGTGCATGGCCCTGCTGAGCAGCACCAGCTGCCAATAGAGCCAAGCACAGCAAATGTGCCAAATGTAAGGGCCTGTGCTGGTACTGTGCAGCTCTCAGGGACAGCATCTCTCCCTGCACGCTCCGTTCTGAGGTGATTGACTGTTTCCTGCCTCCCTCTGAGCCATGACCCGGTAGGTGGCGTGCCTGTCCTGCTGCAGCTCCTGGCACCTGCTGTGCTGGGAGCATCCTTCCCATAGCAGCAGCCCTTCTGCTGTGCAGGCAGTGCTGGTGTGACTGCCTTTGTGTTCAGTCATTTGTGTGTGGTAATGTTTCAGTTGATTAAAGTGCTTATCTGGTTGGAGTTTTTTTAAGTTTTACCATTTCTTTGTCACTTGGTCTTACTAATTCTTATGTATTCTTTTCAAGTTAACGTCGGGGAGGACTGCCCTGTGTTCGATGGGCTGTTTGAGTTCTGTCAGCTCTCTGCTGGAGGCTCAGTTGGTAAGCTCAGCTGTCGTATGACCTTCTCCTAAGCAGATGTATATAAAGTTGTTCTGCCTGAGAAAGTGGTTTGTTGTAGGTAGGGGTGGGGGGAGCCCTGTGAACCTGTTTCTGACTTCCTTAGGTTGAGATTTCTCCCCGTGCTGGAATTCCAGCCTTGCATATTGACAGATCCCTCTACGTTTGTAAGCATATCTTTATTGCTCTGAGCTACTTCAATGGCTCTACATAGGTGATAGACAGACCCCAGCAGCAGTGGGGTTTTACCAGTAATAATTAAAAAAATGATGTGAGCTGCACAGAAAAGGAAAAAAAAAAAAAAAAGGTGTAAAAAATGTTGCTTTGTGTAGGTGCAAACTAAAAAGCAAAAAAGGTTACTTTTTCTTTCTTTTTAACAGAAAGCCCATTGTCTCTGGCTCTGAGGCAAGAGCTGGAACATTTAAAGTACTTTGTTGCAAGAAGTTGTGGTACTGCAGGACTGTGTTACTGTGCATCTACAGTAGAGCTTTGTGGCTACTACTCCCACAGTGACATCTAGAAATCTTCATTTCCTCTCACAGAGCTCAGCAGTACCTATGAGTGCTGACTGCAGCATTCTTATGTTGTTTCTTGAAGTATCTATGCTTTGTGATCCCAAGATTGTACATCCCCTGAATGTATCACTTCTTTTAATCCTTGGAGACTTGCAAAATTGCAGAAAGTTTATGAAGGAGGCAGGGAGAGAGGATGTTCTTTGTCTAAATGCATATTCAGTGACTGACTTAAATATGTATTGGGTAAAACCTTTCCTTAAAGTCTGTTGCTTGGCACACTGGGAATTCTAGACTGTCTTCAGGTGTGACCTGGGCTAGAAAGCAGTGCACTTGTTTGTGCAGATTTCGTGCTCTGAGGCATGAGTGGGGGAAGCAGTCAAAAGTGTGTGCATGCGAAATAGAGGCTGTGTTTCTCTTCCCTTTCCTTTGTTTGTTTGTTGAGACATCCAGTGTTTAAATCCTTGGACTTGTGCCCAAAAGCACAAACAATGATGACAAGAGACCTGTGCTTCACCCCGAGGCTCTGCCGTTGGTCCTTTGCCCTTGTGGTAATATTTTGTAATTCTTCTCCCAACAGCCAGTGCCGTGAAGCTGAACAAGCAGCAGACAGATATTGCTGTGAATTGGGCAGGAGGCCTTCACCACGCTAAAAAGTCAGAGGCTTCTGGCTTCTGCTATGTCAACGATATTGTCCTGGCTATCTTGGAGCTCTTAAAGTAGGTGCAGTCCTCTGAGTCTTTACCACTTCCCAGTCTGCTGTTGCTTTTTATAGCTGTATTTTCCAGGGAGGTCTTAAGCAGCCATATTTTTGGGTTGTAGTACCCTCTGTGCAGAAGGGATGTGTCTAACCATGACACTGTGCAGGAAGCAGAAGGCATTTTGTAGTTGCTCTTAAGCCCTTCTCCTCCCTCAAAAGAAGGGTGCACAGCTGTAAGATGTGTCTGTCTGCTGCTTACCACCCTGGTGGCTGTTGGCTCAAGGCAGACCCCAGTGGGAGGCTTGGACCTAAAAATGTAGAGTCCATTGGCTGGATCTGAATAAACTGAGTCAAGTCTGCCTTCAGAGATCAGCTGCAGCAGTAAAAGCCACTTTGTGGCTCAGGGATTCTGTTCCACTGAGCAAAGCACGTGTCCATTCTCCACTCCTCTTTTGTATCAGAAAGACTACTGGGAGCTGTGCAGCCCGGGAATCTGTGCACAGTTCTTTGCCCACTTTCCATTTGCTCTGGGCCTGCTCTGAAGAAATGCAGCATTTTGACTCCTTTCTGATCCTAGGTATCACCAGAGGGTCCTGTATATCGACATTGATATTCACCATGGAGATGGTGTGGAGGAAGCCTTCTATACCACAGACCGTGTGATGACCGTGTCCTTTCATAAGTATGGAGAGTACTTCCCAGGAACAGGGGACCTGCGGGTGAGAGTGAAACCTTAGCAGAAAATTCCTTTGAAATGTGATCACTTTCTTCTATTTGCTGTCACACTAATTGAGTAAATCCACCACTCTGTAGCATCCTTTCAGCGAGGGTGAAAGTATCTGTATGTGGCAACTGGCTCGGCTCTTAGAGAGGATGCTTTGTTCCTGTGAACTTGACCTGTGCAGAAATAAAATAGTAATAGATCTATGGTAATAAAATCAAGGCTTAGATATCAGTCGTTTAGCAGCCTTCTGGTGGCATCTCAGTCACTTCAGCTATTTCCAGTGTACACAGGCTTTTTGGTGAAAGTTTATCAGGACTGCTTTAGTATGTGTTGAGCATCTTGTTGATATTTCCAGAAGTGATGGTAGTAGGTTCTTCTTCCCCAAGCAGAGGGTCAAATGCTTCCACTTCTGCCAAATACATCGCTGTTGGACTCAGCTAGCTCTGCCTTCTTACACCATGACAGTATCCAACCATGAGAGCTTATGCTTCCATTCAGATTACACCAACAGACTCCCAGACTTCCATTCATAGTTTGCAGTGCAGTTTCTGTGTCGTGGTGACCTTGTGCTCTGTCCTGTCTTTCCCTCTAACAGGACATTGGTGCAGGCAAAGGCAAGTACTATGCTGTCAACTATCCCCTCCGGGATGGGATTGATGATGAGTCCTATGAGGCAATATTCAAGCCGGTAAGTGTCTGCTGAGTGATTCTTTGTGCATCATGCTTTGTCACTGGGTGGCTCATGGAGCCATTCTTCAGGGAGACTCAGACTGCTGTTGTAAGATTCCTCAGTGGCTGTGTTCCTCCCTAACAATTGCAGCCTGTCATCAGTAAGTTTTTCTTGGTAAGAGCCCCAGTGTCACCAATATATGAGTCAACAGCTGTGGGAACACTAGGGATGTCTTCATGTCACTTGCTGGACATTACTGTGTTGCTTTGACACTGTCCTGTGGAGAAAGTGTAACAATGGGTTTCTTGTTTAGGTGATATCTAAAGTGATGGAGACATTCCAGCCTAGTGCAGTTGTCCTGCAGTGTGGGTCAGATTCTCTGTCTGGAGACAGGCTGGGTTGTTTTAATCTGACCATCAAAGGTAAGAATACGGTGTTTCCATCAAAACAGTGAGCTTGGGTCTGTGATGCCAAGTAGCCAGAACTGTACAGCACAGTGCCTGCGTTAAATTGGCATAAATCATCTTATTACTTTTCACTGAAAAGTTTGTACCATGAGGCTCACACCTTTTTCCCTGCTGCCTTTGCTGCAGGTCATGCCAAGTGTGTGGAGTTTGTCAAAAGTTTTAATTTGCCTATGCTGATGCTGGGAGGAGGAGGCTACACGATCCGCAACGTGGCCAGATGCTGGACCTACGAGACTGCTGTGGCTTTGGACACTGAGATCCCAAATGGTAATTTTCCCCTGGAGCCTTTGAGGCAAGATAAGGGACAGTGACTACCTAGTGACAGAGCTTAGGGAGGTAATGTTGCTGCAGAGAGTCAGGAACCATAAGATTTTGTGGTTATTGTGGAAGAGCTTTTTGAGTCCATGGTTTGCAGTAGTTGCTCTTGTTTGTGTTATAGCCCTGTAGTTTTCCCCTCCATCAGGAGATTCCCAGCAGTCTTGCTGTTGTGCTGAAACAAGACGACCTTCTACTGCAAACTTTTGTGCACACTGATAGTGTTTAACTGCCAAGTGAGCTTAGACTGCCCTGTTGCTAAGCCGTCTGTTTTGATCTGAGTTTGGGCTATGAAATGGTCAGCTCCTACCCATAGGAAAATGCAGTTGTGCTCTTATTTAGCACTGAAATCAGCTGTATATGAGGCATTTCATTACTGGTCCAGAGGTGACTTGATTTTTGTTCTATTTTAACTTGTCTGCAGAACTCCCATATAATGACTATTTTGAGTACTTCGGACCAGACTTTAAGCTGCACATCAGTCCCTCAAACATGACTAACCAGAATACCAATGAGTATCTCGAGAAGATCAAGTAAGTGTTTGCCCTTCTCCACAAGGCTGGCACCTTTTACTGGTTAAATACAGAGGTGTTCTTTTCCTGGCTGGCTCCAGGCAGCGTCTCTTTGAGAATCTGCGCATGCTGCCTCATGCCCCTGGCGTCCAGATGCAGCCAATTCCTGAGGATGCTGTTCAGGAAGACAGTGGAGATGAAGAGGAAGAAGATCCTGAGAAGCGCATTTCAAGTACGTGCTTGCTTCTGGCGTAGCTGCATTGCACTGCTGGGAAGTGTGCTGTGCCTGTGGGTGCCAAAGCTGAGCGGGATCAGATTGCTGGAGAAGCATGAAGGCACTAAACTGAAATACCTTATTAAAGAGGGAAGGATATATGACTTAGATTGACCTCAGTTTAGGGGTTCTTTGGTTTGAATCTATGCCCGTTGTTCTGGTGGGTTTTGTAAGATAAAGCAATGATCCTGAGCTGCAGGACTGGTAGAGTTGTTCTCCCTGGGAGCATTTTTCCAGACAGTTTCCATAAAGGAAGAACACAGGCATTCATGTGAGAATTGAAACAGTTGCACAGGTGCTGTGACAGATTACTTTCTGGGAGGCTGTCAGGTTGTTCCAGAAGTTGCCTGCCTCAGTGAAAATGCTGGTTGTTATCCAGATTGGCCGATGGCCTTCAGATCTGGCAGTCAGATTTTCTCAGTGTGAGGTTGGTTAACCTGCTTATGCTGTCAAGTCTAAACATCACACTGCATCTAATCCACGTCCCACACGTGATCTTAGGTTAAGCATAAGCAGGCAGGAGCAGTCAGTTAAAAGACACGACAGGTAGACGAAGGGGTTTTATTGTGATCTCTCTGTGAGTTACGTAGGTTTATTGGTTCTTTCCCACGTGTGTGGATGTACACAGAGGGTACATCTCCAAGCATTAGTGTGCAGTATCTTCTGACCTCTTCTCCCCTTCACTCTCAGTCCGCAATTCTGATAAGAGAATATCCTGTGATGAAGAATTCTCTGACTCTGAAGATGAAGGGGAAGGAGGGCGCAAAAATGTTGCTAACTTTAAGAAGGCCAAGCGTGTGAAAACAGAAGAGGAAAAGGAGGAGGAGGAGAAGAAGGGTAAGCACGAGAGCTGTGGCTGGAAGCCCTCCTGGCTCTGTAGAGCATTGCCTGTTGTGTGCTTTCCTACTGCTCTTCCATGCCTTTTTTTTTTTTTCCTTAGATGAGAAAGAAGAGGAAAAAGCAAAAGAGGAGAAAGCCGAACCCAAGGGGTGAGCCCAGTGTCTCTTGGCTTGGCAGTTAATTCCCTGAGTTTGTATTTCCCTGTGCATTTCCCCATGCCCCTGATGGGATGTTGCACAGCTTCTGGGGTTGGAGTAGAGACGTGGTGGTTTGGATGGCTTGTGCTGGGCTCTTAACAGGGGGAAGTTAGCGTGGGAAGGACAGCACACCTGATGAAGCTCTGAGAGCCTTCAAAGAATAGGGCTAAAAAATAGTATGTATTCTGTAACATGTCACTGGTTTTAAAGGGAGATTGACATCAGAGCACATTAAGTGTTGTTAGGGTGGAGCATCTCAGTGGCATTGTTATGGCTGCAGCTCTGGCTTGTAGTGCAGCCTGAGTTTCTTGTTTAAACCGAATTTTCCACTGCTTCCTTCCACAGGGTGAAGGAAGAGACAAAATCCACCTAAGATGGCTGCAGCTGGACAGTACCTGTCAGTGCATAGTTATCGTAGGTTAGCTTCTCTGGTTGCCTCCCATTCCACAGGATTTATATTTTATATATGTTTCTGTATATATTTCTATATAAATATATAAATGACTCGAGGACTGTAAATTATTCCTTGCTGCACTCTGCTGGGAGCAGACAGGGAGGACTCTGCAGAGTAGAGAGACCCGCACTGCCCAGGATTGGTGACTGGGAAGTTTCACTCTTTGCCTTCCACTGCCTCCTTAGTGTGTCTTTAAAAAAGAATCACTTCCTTTCTTTGCTCTCCTCTGAAGTAACCATCCTTGAAAATGAATAATTTAAGTAGAAGTAGTATCTGCATTTCAGGTTAGGTGGAAAGATGGCCATGAAACTTTTTTTTTTTCTTCTTCTTTTCCTTTCTCTTTTATTTTTTTTGTGTGGGAGATATGAATTCCCAAATTAAGCCTGTGAGAGACTGAGTGTTCCTTTGGTCTTCAGTCTGATTCCACCATGGCAAGTAACTGCAAGCTGGTGCCGCTTCTCAGGGTCAAATAGTGCAGTTCTTGAACAGAGTTGGCTACCTCCCTGCAGCAAACTTGTGGAAAGAGATGAAGCAGCTTACAAGCAGATCAGAAAACGGCTTGAGTGAATCTGCCCAAGAGCCCTGCAGGTATAGATCTGGAAAATGCACAGTGAAAATCCCTGATGTGGTGGTGAACGTTTTCCAGGAGATGGCAGATCTCGTTAGCGTGGCAGCGCTGTGCACTGCAAATAGGAGAAGGGATGGAATCTCTGTACACTTGTTTCCTATAGCTGTGCCCCTCTTTGCAGGGGGAGGTGAGTTTCTGCCCATCTGGCTGCCTGCTTCACTCTTTCTGCTTCTGCCCTCAGCTACATGTGCTGTAATTGCTTCTCAGTACTGATCTGTGACCTAGCTGAAACCACAGCAGAACAGGACAGACAGACAGAGCCCAGCTGATGCCTCTGCTCCTCCTGTATCACTCACAGAAACTCTGAAGTAGACATGTTTTCAAGTGGAACTTTTCCTCTCTTTGCTCTCAAGGCCAGTAAATTCGGAGAACCTTTTTATCAGTCTGAGCTGTTATCTGTACAAGGAAACAGCAGATGGGGCTCTGTACATTTTTATAACTACTCCTCTTCCTACTCCCACGTGTTATCTCACACCCAAAGGTCTTTTGTGATCAGAGCTGGCCTTTCTCACACCTTGCTTTGTACAGCTGAGCGTGAGATGAGCGTTCCATGAAATGCTTCGCTGAGCTCCAACTTTGCAGAAGTTTTGCAGGCAGTTCTGACTTGCTGCTCTCCTTTCTCAGGGGGATTCCTCTGTCCATAAGAGGATCTGTACCTCCCACGGAGTGCTGCTGGTGGTTTCAACTCTAATAATGCTGCTAACTTAACACAGGTTATTTTTAAAATGTTTTATTTTTTTAAATGCTTTTTTTTTCCCCCCTTTTCCACCGTAAGTTTTGTAGTCTCTTGGAACCCGAGTGACATCTCACTCCTGCTCTTCAGTGTTTGTATGTGAAGCGAGAGAGATCAGTGTATCTTTGTGTCTTGGGGAGGGGGAGGGAAATATATTGTGGTTTTTTAAAGATGCTTTTATTTTAAATTTTGAGAATCTTTGTAATAAAACGTACATTTCTATGGTTGGTCTGAGTTTGCACTGCTTTCTGCTGGGGGGAAGCACCGGGGTAGAGTCAATGTGGTGCAAGAGGAGCTTCCCCTTCTTTCGGGAGGGCTGGGGGTGTGTTGGTGAAGTGCTGAAGTCCAAAGCGCTGCACAGAGGCTCTCCATCACTCCGTGCAGCACGTCGAAGATTGCTGCAGCTCCTTTTGCAGGTGTTAACATTTTATTTCCCTGAGTTTCACAACACAGCCTCCAACCCTCCCCCCCTCTTTGCACGTTGTTTGCTGGTTCCCAGCACCTCGGTTCCCACCGCTTGGTTGTCCCCCAGCAGGGCTTTGTGTGCCGTTAGTGCTGCCCTGCCTGCTGCTCTGAGGGCAGCCTTAATCTGGGGAGGGAATAACAGGTTAAGGAAAAGGAGTTGTGTGGTTTTTTTCTTGCATGAGCCTGTTCGGGTTTTTGTTTGTTTGGGGTTTTTCTTGGTAATCTGTTGTTCCGTTAATTAGAAAAAAATCATTAAACGAGCGGGGTGATTTGCATCGTGTGCTGAAACGCACGGGAAAGGTTGGCGAGCCCGAAGTGCTGTTTGGAGAGGAGGAAAAGCTCGGAGTGCCGCAGCCCTCGTCGCTCGGTTGCCCCGGGAGCCGCAGCTCGCGCTCAGCCCCTCCGCGAGCAGCCGCGCTTCGCACCGCGCTCATCGCTCTGCCCTCCGCGCCGACGTGCGGCTGCAGCCCTTCTCCCTGCCGGGCCGCCTTAAAATGGCTGCCACGTCTGCAGCTCCTGCAGCCCCGCGGCTCAGCCGGGCGCACGGAGCCCAGCAGGAACAGCGACCGACAGCGCACGGCTCCCGCTCGGCTTTTATCCCTCCCTCCCTCCAGCATCAGCGGGGATGAAGCCGTCCTGCACGCAGCCTCTGCTGTCGACAGGACGACGCGCTGCACGCAGACATTTTGGCTCTTATCTCTACCTCGAGGGCTGCGGCTCAGCACCGCCGCCCGTTCCCTCCGGGCGCTCTGAACAAACCCCGCTCCTCGCTGCCCCCCAGCCCCTCCCCGCACCCCGGCAGGGCAGCGTTTGGGCCGCGCTGCAGGATGCCGAGCAGAGGAGCTGCCGCCTTTGGGCTGCAGCGTTGGGGCAGCAGAGCGCAGCCCCGCGGCACGGAGCTCGGCAGCAGCCGCCGCGCCCCACCGGGCAGAGATGTCAGCACGTCGCTCCCGTCGCCATCAGGCTGTGGGATCTCGCACCACAAAGAGCTCGCCGGAATCCACAGCAGGGAATTCCTCCCGGGTTGCCCGCTGGGACGGGGCCCCGCAGCCCCCATCCAGCCCCGCGATCGCAGCACGGAGCCACGAGCCCTCAGAGGCAGCGTTGTGTGCCGAGGAAATCCTTTGTGGCCACGGCTCTGCATCTGCTGCGAGTCAATTAGCGAGAGCAGGGCAATTAATGCAGCAGCTGCTGAGCTCCATAAGCAACTGCTGCCCTCCCCGTGCGGGACAAGAAGGACTCGAGCTCCCCCGTGAAGGGATGACCATTTATTCCTTTCAAATGTTACAATAGAACCCATACAGCCTTTTTTTTTTCTCTTCCTTCAGAAGTTAGAAAATCGCAAATCGTGTGTTTTGGCCATTAAAAAAATTATTTACAGAGGAAACAGCATCGCTTCACATTATACAGCGGGCAGCGCCCTCCCTCCACCCGGCCCAGCAGTTCCCCCATGGAAGCAGAATTAAACACAGCGGACTTACAAAGCATTACGGTTTTTAAGCCAAAAGTAAAGACTTCATAAAAAAAAACCAAAAAAAAAACAAACAAAAAAACCCAACCAACAACCAACCTAAGCAGATTAGCTCTTAAACCATTCGGTTTCTATCAAAAGCGCAAAATACTTTAAACGAAGGCAGAACCGGGGATGTAAACGGAGAGAAAGGATCCGAGCAGTCCGCGGTGTGGGGCTCCGGGCTCCTACAGACTGTAAATTCCAGTTCTGGCCACGGGCGGTGGATGTGGGCTGCAGCTGTCGGGGCTCGGCAGCTCCGAGCGGTGCCGGGGGTGGGGAGGAGGTCCTGGCGTGGGGGTGGGCTCAGGGAGCGCCGTCAGTTCTGCGTCGGCTGGGCGGTGCGGGAACGGCGGAGTCCGTGCGCGGGGTCACAGGGCCGAAGGGACAAGAAGTCTTAGGGCAGCGCGGGGCTCTACTCCTCCTTCTGCTCCGCCGCCGCCGCGGGCTCAGCCGCCGTGGGCTCGGGGGGCTGCTGGGCGGCGGCCGCGTCCCCCCGGTTCTCCGCGGGCGGCTTCTCCTCCTCCGCGCCGTGCCCTCCGTCGGGCCCTTTGGGCTCAGCCCCGCTCTGCCCCTCGCCGCTCCGCTCCTCCTGGGGGGCGGCTCCGCCCGCGGGGTCCTCCTCGGCTTTGGGCTCCGCTTTGCTCTGCTCCTCCGTGGGTGAGGACGCGGCGGAATCCCCGTCGTCTTTCTTGTTCTTCCGAAAGGAGATCCCGCTCAGCTTGAAGGATTTCTTGAAGGAGAACTTCTTCTTCTTTTTGGGGGTGTCTTTGGGGGCCGCGGCGCCCTCGGGCTTCGCCTCCCCGCCGTCCGCGGGCGGTGCCGGCTCGATGGTGTCCTCACCGCCCGCCCCGCCCGTGCCGTCCTCCCGGGGGGCTTCGGCGGAGCCGGCGCCGTTGAGGGGCGTTGGGTCGCCCCCCGCTTTGGGCGTCATGTCCCCGTTGAGCCGCACGTGGCCGTTCTCCTGCGGGAGCAGCGCGGCGTTAGGCTCGGCCGCGACCCCCAGCCCGCACCCCTCAGCCGCGGGGCCGCCGAACCGATGCGCGGGGGGAGGGGGGTCCCACCGGGAGGGGGTCCCCGCGCTGCCACCGGGCGGCGCCCGCGCTCCGTCCCCGCTCATTCCCACCCCGGGGCGCGGCCGCGGACGGAGCCCCGCGCGGTACCGGGGCGCGGCTCGGAGGCGGCGGGCGGTGCCGCATCGCTCGGCGCCCCTCGGGCTCACAGCTTCCCCCTCCTCTCCTCTCCTCTCCATCCTTTCTTCCTTTTCCCCCTCCCCCCCCCCGCCGCCGACCGCCGCCGCCTTTGTCCGCCCGCTCCCACGGGGCCCCCGCCGCTCCCTACCTGCCCGTTGGCTTTGGAGGGCTCGGTGACGGCTGCGTGGCCCCCCGGCGGGTCGCTGCCCTCCGCCTTGGCCGCCTTAGAGCCCTGGCTGCCCATGGTGCGGCGCGGACCCCCCCCACCCCCCGCCGCGGCGGTGCGAGCGGCGCCGAGAGGCAGTGGGCAGAGCCCCCCGCCGCCGCCGTAATAAGGAGCGGGGAGGGGGCGGGACGCTGCGCCGAGACCGCCCCGGGGGCGGGGGACAGGGCTGAGCCACCGCCCCGGTGGGGTCGGAGGTGTTGGACGGCGGCAAGTCGCCCCCGACGGGGGGGTGGGAGAGGGGGCGGGCGGTGGGGAAGGGGAGCGGGGGGTGAGTCTTGGGGGGTCCCCTCTTGTCACAGCTCCGTCGCCCCCCAGGACGGCCCCATCACCCTCTTGTCGCGGCCCCCCCCCCCCCCCCGGCCCCATCTGCCCCTCTGGAAGTTCCCTCAGGGACGGTACCAGAAGTTACACCTCAGCTCCCCCTATACGACCCGGTGGTTTTATTTTCCTTTGCTTTCTTTCTCTTTTCTCATTTCCCGGAAAGGGGCAGTTTAGGAGAAGAGTGACTGAAGTGATGTCCACGCTGAGGGTCAGTGCTCTGCAGTGCACCGTGGCCACATTTCCAGCACCAGAGCAGAACTGGGCTGGCACAGACTGGGGCCCTGCGGTGCTTTGGGCAGCGCAGCCCGGGCGTTTGGTTCGCTTGGCACGCAGGTTTCATGGTTCTGACAGAAGGTCCCCAAAGTGTGCTGGCTGGGACCACAGCTGGGTGCTGAACCAAAGCTGCACCAGAGCCCCCAGAGACTGGGAGAGCCCCTGGCACCAAGATGCAGGAAACAGACCCAGCACCCAACCCCAGCTCCCAGTCCCAACCCCAGCACCCAATCACAGTCCCGAGACCCCAGCCCCCAAACTCAGCCCCCAACCCCAGCACCCAGCACCCGGTTCCAGCCCCCAGCCCCAGCTGCACCCCGCAGCATCAAGGCCACCATCTCCAGGGGGTGGAAAAAAAAACAATGTGCCGCTGTGTGCCTCCACCAACAAGGTCATGTTTTGTCTCCCGCCTCCCTCCTCCCCCCGGCGCACATCATCTCTGTGCGAATTTTCTCTGTTCATTAAAACAGGCAGCATCTTCCTGATTGACTTTTGGGTGCCAGTTGATGAAGCCTTCGGCCGGTCGCCGGGCAGCTGCTGCTGCTGGAGCCATCTGGGGGCTGCAGGGAACACAGGAACGGGGTGCAAAGGGGCTGCAGAGCGTTTCAATTCTTCAGTTTTGAGCCCAGCGAGGCTGCTCTCTTTGGCCCAGTTGAGCCCATTGAATCAGAGCCTGAACACACTGACCCCCATGCGTTTGTTCTCGAGCTCCAGCTCAGTGCCCATCAGGGAGCAGAGCCCCCAGACGGAGCACCCCGGTCCTGACCTGTCTGCTCCCAGTGTGGAGACACTGAGCTCAGAGCTGGGCTGGAGGAGCAGTGGGGCCGTTCTGGGGGTTACCGGGATGGGGTCCCAGGGTTGGGGCTGCTGACCATCTCTGCTGTGTTTTGGTGGAAGGGAGAAAATGCTTCTCAGCACAGCTGCCCTGCCATCAGAGCGCAGAGCTGAAGGGACAGGAGGTGATGCTCAGTGTGACTGCAGGTCGTGGTGCAGCCCCCCTTCAGCACCAGAAGAAAGGCAGAAAATCCCACCTGTGCTTTCCTGGTGGCTTTCATCTCAGCAGCACACGTTGCTCTCAGCCCCATCTTTCCTTGAAATCCTCTTCCTCCTGCAAAGCCGTGGCACAAACTGAGCCCGAGGGCCCCGTGCCACCTCCCAGGCTTCGGGAAGCAGTGGGGATTTGCAGATTAAGGGGCAGTTTGCTCCCCAGCAGATGGACAGGCAGCCAAATCTGTCTGC